TGGGATCGTTGTGTTCACTCCCAGGGGAACTACTTCGAGGGTGATGGATGAATTTAATACCTGAGATAAGTGTACGGGTTTTTATACGCTCAGTCTGGAAACCTTTCGATCGCACCTCGTATATAAAAAAACTTAATGACCTAAGACTACGAAAAATAGTAAAGAATACGTTTGTAATTGGAGTAAAACTTCTAATGCCTGCTATCCTGTGTTCGATGATTTCAAACGTTACCGATGTTTCAGAAACAATGTTTTCAACTAGGACAATACATCAACTACTGTTTTCAGTTCGGACGGCACATTCACTCTTCAACCCACGACTTCCCAGAAGTGTGTCGACGTCTAACGTCAGTGTCTTGTCAGGCGCTAGTGGACCAGAGCTGGCCTCGAAAAGGAACTGCCGGCCGGTACGGCCAGGACAAACTGTAGTTGTCTCTTTTCCAGAATGAGGAGGTGCGGGTCTCCTGGCAACCGGTTCAATCCCAAACTGATTCTTCCTGCACCTTTATTCGCCATTCTTTGTGTGTCACTGCGAGAAACAGGGGCGACCAAACACGTATCTTCAATCAGGAACCGTCACGAAATGCGTTGTCAATATTCTACGAAAAATAACCCACTTTCAGCTGAAGTTTCTCACAAAAAAAAAAAACCAATCGACGATAGATGTTAACAGCGGCAATGCGTATAATTTCTGTTTTATTCAACTTGACATCTACAACACCGAAGGGTGGCACGGCATTTAGGAAGTTACGTGCCATTATAAATCTAAATAGTTGCGATAATTCAAATTTTGACACAATATTTCATTGTTTCACACAATATGTTATATTTCTGACCGGTTACTAAATATTATAAAATTCTGACAAAGACGAAAAACTAGCGCTGGACAATTTGTGAACCTTCTTATAGTCAGCACGACAATAAAGTAATTATGAAATCGTTAAGAAATGGGTTTGATTTGTCTTTATCTGGGGGGTCACAGTGGCCGCGCGGTCTGAGGCGCTGGGACCGTGGGTTCGAATCCCACTCAAGCCATGGATGTTTTTCTGTGTCGTGCTGTCCTGTGTACAGATAGAGGCCTTGCGACGGGCCGATCCCTCATCCAAGGAGTCCTACCAACTGTCAATAGATCAAAGCCGACGAAAAGTTGCGACCCGCAGTGCTCTGGCACTTGAAGAACGGGTCGTTCCCAGTATCGAAGTTGTCTCTGTCTAAGTCAGCATTAACATTGCAACAGGAGGGGCTGCGATGACGAGCAGAAACTTACCCGTTGCTCCCCGACCTATACGCTCTGCCTTTAAAGAACCCAATTCCCTGCCTTCATCCGTAATTTGAGGCAGATCAATGCACTTTTTATCTCGTGGAAGCAATGCTACGTCTAGGGTACTGGGACGTTATTCACAGCTCTAAAGCTCCAGTTTCTGCCATAATTATTACCTGTTTCTGCCTTTCTACCGAACTTTGACATCTCCCGTCTATGGAAAACAAAGCAGAGACTAATTTTGTTTCCCAGACTGCGAATAAGGATTCAATTTACAAAGCACTGAATGAAGCTAATTTTGCGTTCCGCTCTGATTCATTAAGTTGTGATTATATTCCTCTATTATTTATTCTCACGATTCTTAAAGTATGTACCCGGCATGATATATTTATGTAACACGAAAGAGACTGTTCTGAAATATTCGTCACTTCTTTGACAACGTCCCAAACCAGCTCTCCTGTCCATTCAAAGACGGAATTTTTCTCTCTCCTCTAACCGTAATCCAAATACACGTGGTACATAGGAAGGAACGGTCCATAAGATCTGCATAATCTGTCTTTAATCCTACATTTCCCATAGATTGAAGAGAAAAGTCCCATACAGACAAGTGAAAGGGGGGGGGGAAACGCATGACCTTAGGAGGCAAATCGAGTTGCTTCATACTACAAGTTCAAGTCGCTGACTTCTGAAACCAATTACAGCAACTGGGTAGTGTACACAACAGAGTGTGGTCTCTGAAGCAGGGTAATTGCGTTGTGGTACAGTTTGCGTGTACTGACGAGCACACATGAGCGAAAATCAATGAGTCCACAGTCTGATAACATTACTAAAGATGAACTGAGACACAAGAAAAGTTGATTCCGTCCATCCGTATATTTTTAACATGCCCTCCGCATTTCGAAAGACCTAGTGTACAACTTTTACCCTTGGCAGGGCCGACCCAAACAATTTAAAGATCAAAATATAACTAAGTAACTCAATGGAGCAGAGTTCTTCTTGAAATGCTTTGCCTTTTAAAGAACGTAGAAGTTCACTGCCATATTCACGGCAGCCCACCATTGGTCCCTATCCGAAGCCAGATGAATCCAATCCACGCACAAAACCATATTTGTATAATATGCATTTTAATATTATCTTCATATCTATGCATACGTCTTCTGAGTAGCCTCCTCTCTTCAGAATTTTACACCAAAATTTTGTATTCATTTCTCAGCTCACTCAATCGTGACAGACTCTACGCCCTGATCATCTTATCGCCCTTAATCTGAATACGCATATCCCTGGAACAACGCTGTGATTTTGGACAGACGCGTGAAATGTCCCTAGACACCGAGAATGTTTATATTTAGTTCACAATTTCTTATGTCCAAGGCTTTTATCCTTCCTACTTTTATTACGATGGTACTCATATATTTCGTTAAGTAAGAAAACTTCATTAAGATAAGGCCCTTGAAAGCAAACTGACGACACACATGAATTCAAAGAACCAGAGCAGATAAGACACTCCTCTTTTGTTCACGCAATTTCCTGACGGAGAAACAGGAATTTACCGCACCTGGTGGCCATTTGTTTCGCACTCCAAGCTCAGCCAACAATATTAACGACCTTACTGGTAACAGCGTTATACCAGTCTCTCACCTTGTTACAATATCTTAAGGTTCACTGCCATTGACACAAAGGCAAACAGCTGGACTGCATATGAAACGAGTTCACATATTCATAACCCATTTATTATGACGTCTGTTTTAATATCATTCTCTCAATCACGCTCGATTAAATTAACAAACGTTTCCAGGCCAGACAAGCCTTGGCCTATTCCACCTACGTGGTCTTTCCACTTCATCCTTCATGTACTTTATTCAATTACTTTATCGAACTTAACGTTTCTCACATATATTAGTATTTCCTACAACTTCTATTCTTGTATTTGCCTCCGTCACTAAAGTTGATAAAACTATAAAATCAAATGATCATACTAAAATTGGAAATTCTCTTCGGTTTCCAAAAAACCATAACCATACCAAGTTCCTACTTCAAGTTCTCCCTTTGCTCCCCAATGTGTCTGCTTGATTTATTTCTCTACGTATGACGCGCCCTCTGAACTGGAATAACACACGGCGTGAAACTCCAAGGTTCGTGGAGTGGTGCGAAGATCGCGCGCATAAGAAGAACTTTTCCTCGTATCAGGGAATTTCTTTAAAAAAAAAAGAGCACGATAATACACAGGTCTTCCTGGAGATAAGTGGCAACATCAGACGCGAAGACTGCCCTTGTTCTTTTCGACAGAACTGATACGCCATTGTGTTTGTTTCCGCTGCAATCCGCTGGTAAACACAAGTACTCGGACAGAATTTGATAAGATTACACTCGCTCTAAGACAGAAAAAGAAAGGAAGAAAGAAAGAACAAGCAGGACCAAAGCGAGGGACAGGATACGTCTCCACTGCAATTTCATGTTTCACTGCATGATATTTCCAGGGGAAAGATAATGGACATAGACTTTGTTTCAAAGCAGAGACGACAAGAAAACCACGATAAGCACATCTGTCAGGATAGTCTGTAACCAGTCGAGACTTGAACTGGACACTATCAGACCGAAGATGGAATTAACGGCATTACCTGAAAAATGAGCCTCATAAATTTTTAGTTTTTCGGCACTCTCAAAAAAAAAAACGATAAACAACCTTCTGGAATGATATTTTGTCTGTCTTCCTATGAACCAACTGAATGGTCGAATTTTATAACATTTTGTAAAAAGGCTAGCGCAGTCTTCCTCGGAAAGCTGATAATTACCCCAATAATAATTTTTATAATATATACTATAATTAATTAACTAACTAGATGACTTACGGAAATCGAAGGTTCATCACCGAATTAACCAAAGCCCTCCACCGGACCAACAAAATCCAGTCTCCTTCAACTCCTATCTCCCATAGATCCCGCCTGACATTATCCTTCCATCTACGTCTAGGTCTCCCCAGCGGTCTCTTCCCCTCAGGTTTCCCGATCAATACCCAGTGCACACCTTCACATAGACGCCTATATCTCCGTTGAATTTCTCGACCAATATTTATTACGTGCTTTTAATTTCCTCGTGTGTTCTCAGACAGAAAAAAAAATCTCGAACTCACAACCCCAGTTTAAGGGCGGTTGGAGACAGCACAGGAAACACGACCAGCATCGCATTATTACTACGTTCTCAGCTTCAATGAACTCACCGCGCTGAGGTTCTCAACGCAGTGCGTGGAGGATTCAGCGTTCACTCTCTGCAGGAATTCTTCGTACTTCTCCAGCGCTGTTAACCGGTGCAGCAGGTTCTGAAGTAAGGTGGACACCTCCTTCCTGATACCCGGATCGACCGTAACACACTTCTGGGTGATGGCCCTCACGTGCGCCATCACACGCTCGTCCCTGAAGTCGTAAGGGAAGGTCTCCGTCCATTCTGCCAGCAACTGCACCAGGTGAGGGACGAATCTGCCCAGACGGTCCTGTAAGTGCAACGAACATCACGAGGACATTAACACAATTCACAACAAACTGTCCGGAGTGGAAGCATTTGAGGTTCTCGTGGCGGTGAGTACGAAAGTTAGAAGCCCATTTGGAAAAACGGATTCATCGGACTCAGGACAGAACAGATGGCGGGGCTGTTGTCAAAACGGTAATAAACCTTCGGGTTGCACAAAGTTCGGAAAATTTCTCGAGGAAGGTTCTGCTCCATGGACTTTGAGGGCAAACGGGACGCTACGCCAAGTCCTACCTTGTGTCTTACCCCGACTGTACAAAGTGCCATCATGTTTATTCTGACAGCTATTCACGTCTATTCTCGACTGGTATCGCTTCACCGAGCATTACCAAGTACGTCCACGTCAGCCGCTACTCACGACTCGCGTGAGCATATCTGATCAGCAACGTGTCCGCCGATCTCGGCCATTACTCGTCTCGATCTGACGCCCTATCTTACCTTGGCTGCTGCCTGCTTCTCGCCGAGTTTTTGCTGAGAGTCGCACAGGGCACAGACTTCGCCGAGCAATTCGTGAGGTTTTATGAACAGCCGTGAGCTGAGCAGAAAGGCGAACAGGTAAGCGCGGTCCGGGTAATAGTCCGCGGTGGGGACCATGTGCTGCACCAGGGCGTCCAGGGACCCTGACACCAGGTTCCCGCCGTCACGATACACCAGAGCCTGCAACAAAGAGAAGTACTTTGTCAAACGTTGAGGTCCAATGAAATATGTAGCTGATCTTGGTCAAGATATTCCATGCCTTTCACGGGGCCACAAAATTCATTACCGTGTTCATAAGAGCTCGCCACTGGTCCCTATCCTGAGCCATATAAATCCAATCCCCTCCCCAAATATATTTACCCAAGATGCATTTTAATATTATCCCTGCACCTACGCCTAGATCCTCTGAGTGGTCTCTTCCCTATGGGCTTTCCAACTGAAATTCAGAAGGCTATACACGTCCCTGTGCGAGCTACATGCCCCGCCCATCTCATCCCCAGTGTGAAGTTTTCTCCGGTATCGTGTAATTTAATCACTCTTAGGTCCAAATATTCTCCTCAGTATTTTCTTGCCAAACATCACCAATGCACGCAACAATAATAATCATCATACGTACAAAATAAAATATAAAACTGAGAAAAAAAAGCAAGGTTTAAAAATTTTATTCCACATATCACCTTGATTCGTCAGTTCACGATGAAATCATAAAAAAAAAAAATATATGGACTTTCCTTTCGTCAATTTTATTGAAAGGGCAGAACTGGGGTCAAGAATTAGAGTACAGAATTAAGAAATCTTATAAGCTTTACGTGTTACAGAGCATTTCTGAGGAAAGTAAGTTGGACTTAGCGACGGCAGTACAGTCGATGTTAACTAGTACAATAAGGTGTCCGAAGTACATATACTATCTTCCGCGACTTTTGAAAATAACCGTGTTAAATCTCATAATTTAACACTCGTTCCTAAAACAATAAAACTGTTAAAACGTTCCACCGATCACAATGAACGCATAATAACCCGCATCTAACTATAAAACTTAAATGGAAACATAATTAAATAATAATAATATCAACACAATCTACGCAATGCATGCAGTACGCACACACAAAACTTTACAGTAACGAGCGACTCTAAATCATGACAAATCAGGTTACATTTTCGTGTGCCACGACGTGGAAAGGCAGAGAGTGTGTTCGTATCTTGACGTCAAACGTGAATAAATAAAATTTACGGAGTTAAACCTGGTATTTGAACTTCAGCAGCGAAAATCCTACTTCTTAACTGGAGCTTCTTCCAATTTGTAGACAAGGACGAAGCTCTGGGCCTATGACTTCAGGGGACAGCAAAGTTTCGTTACTCGGAGCCATACAATAAGCTTGTTATTCATTAGAGGTTTCTCTGTGTTTGTTGATCGCCCGAGGCTTTACTTTGCTATGACAACAGACGGCGTATTTTGTACACTGCTGTCTCCATTTCAGTTTGCCTTGCGTCTTGAGGGGTGTTTCAGGTTTCAAAAGATTTCACACTTCCTGAACACAAGAGGGCGAGACTATTTTAATCAATGTTTACAGAAGATGACACCCTTCTCGGATATTGTGCAGTGTACTCTCGGAGGAACTCACCGACGTTTCAGAAATGCAGGTTTATTATGGACACACAAGAGTCTGTATAACTTTGCGCGAGTATGAAGACGAACGTCTGGGAGACTGCGCTGTAGGAGCTGACCGACAATTTAGCGATGCGCACTTCCTCCGTCAGGCCCTAATTTACATTTATGTAAAATTTAAACTCTTTGAATTTTTGTCTGATGTAAATAAACATTATATCCAAAAAGGTGCGCTAACTGTGCATTTAAAAATATGTGTATTCCTAGACGCAGTGCACTTTACTTTGTAAAAACTATAAATAATTGTAATTTGAGTTTAAAAGTTTATAATTTACACCTGATGACGGTTTGATAAACCGAAACATGTTGTGAATGTTCCGATGTAAATCGAATGCTCGATATGGAACATAAGATGATATTTTAATCATTTTAATTATCTTATCTTACTATTTTATTGTGATTTGACGGTAAACAAATATAATAATTATTTTAATTAATATCACAATATGACGCAGCTATACTACTATCTCATTCTTTGTTATTTAGTTTTAAAAGAACAGAAAATAATTAGAATACTGAAAGCCTATGAATTGAATACAGAAATAGAGAGCGGCACTTGGAGGGGGACCCTGCACGGGTATAACTGTCATCCGATTCCGTCCACTTCATGCCAAACTGCCCACTGAGGAACTGAACAACCATTCGCCACTTCCGCTCATTTATTCCACGAGAGTTACTTCTTCCAGTTTTTCTTCCTACGACTTCTCCCAATTTCGTCTGAGAGAAATCTGGAGACAGATTAATATGGGTTAGGCCATCTAAGCAGCAGAGGAATCACAAGCAATTTCCTCGCATATCTGCAATCTTCATCAGCTACCATTTTCGAAAACAAACCGTTTGTCACAAGGGAAATCACTAAATGTTGCAATCACTAACAAACCATACGTAAGAGCCCATCGCTGGTGTTAGTGGGTAAGTAGGAACAAAATTATCTTTCGAGAAGATTAGTAAAAGTCTCTCTGCTGAAATAAATAACACAGAACGTTTTGTAGAACGCAAAGTATGACTTCCTGCCATCGGAACCACGTGCTGGTGAGAGTAAGAGCCACGTTCCGGCTGATGCACCCCCGGGAAAACATCAAATGGCCTGGTTCGCCCCCAGAGACATTCTGGGCGTGGTAACAAAATATCTATGTCCCTGTCGGTAAACGAATCCCGATGTTCAAACTCCTAGTCCGTCAGTTTACTCGCCCCGCCATTATCGCTCAGACACTACAAATTAAAGCCACTCACGGTGTATAAAACCAAAAATTTCACGGGTACTTATACGTTTTCGATTTACGCGTCGATTCGCAGGAACACAACACCCGCGTATAACGAGAATCACCAGTATAATTTAAATGAACTTCGCGTTATAAAGATTTAATTACGGTTAATTTTCTCCATTACGTTCAGTATTAACGAAGAAAACTTTGCCTCTGTGGAGTATTTCTATGGTCGCCACAAAACACGTCTTCTAACAGACTGTAAGACTTCTACATTTCAACCAAACTAAGCAATGCAGAAACTACAAATGTCATAAGTTAAGATATGGAAATAAATATAAGAAAAAAACATTCAGGAGAGAATGGCGGGAAAAAGACAGAAGAAATGCGAAGACCTGGCTTTTGTCGCCGAAGATGAAACGGAAACTTCATTTCACGCTAGCTCAGGTCCCTCCGCCCACTCATCACGACTCGTCTTCCTGGTATTTGACCTCTCACGGGCCCCCTTGATCCTGCAGTTACTTCTCTTCAATAATAATAGTAATAATAATAAAGGCTTCTTAGGCTAGATAAATCGCTGAACCCCCACCCCCGACCGTCTGTTTCAACTATCGACATAAAAATTTAAGAAGGTTCATTTTTCTCATGTTCTCATGAGAGACTGAAGTATCAAAGTATTCAGCGATTCTAAAATTCTTCTCAGCCTGCATTATCGTCTCGTACAGACTGAGCTTCAGTAATGCCAACAGACTTACTTACATCATCATGATTCAAAGTCCTAATTGAAAAGTTAAACTCGTTCAGATTATCAAAAAACTGAAAGTCCTGTGGAACTTACTGGTTCATTACCTTGCTCACAAAAGCCCGATACTGATCCCTGTACTGAGCCAGAGGGTAACAGCCTGCATCAAACAAATTACTCAAATCTAAAGCACTGATAAGCTAGCCTCAGGCCAAATGATAATACCGTTTCGTGAATAAATTCACATGTAAAATTTTCAATAAACAAGAAGAATACGACACAACGCATCAAGAAAATGTACCAATTTCTTCTAAAATAACATAAGCAAATCTTTTGTTACAAAGCGAGCAAAATATGAAGAAGGAAACAAAATAAATTGCATGAGCAATTCTGCAAGTTAATAGAAACTGAAGCAGAAACAACCCGATATGACGCGGTTGCAGCAGAACTTACTTCGCCGATGTTAACCACTCACAAACGAGTCCCGCCACAAGAAGCAATCGACTACGAGACTGGGGTTCGCTCTATTCCTCGGGTTTCCACCATGCTAGAACATCATGTCTCCCTCCAAACCCCGCCGATGCATGAAAACCCATCCCGAGCCATATTACTCAGGGGTTATAAAAGTGTGAGCTGCATACGGATGTTCGTGGATGTCATAAGAAATGACCCGAACATATACAAGAAACAGACGATTAAGGTAATCCAGCCAAGATTACATAAAGTGGTCTCAGAAAAATTGCTCAGTAAATGCAAGCGAACAGATCGAGAGATCGACAAAGAATTGAAGCAACACAAATCAGATGTTTACGTGGATTAAGGGTAACTTTGTGTCATAAAAAGACGTTCGTACGTAAGAATTTTACCCCAGGTTAACAAAATGACCGAAAACGTTAAAGAATTCTGGGGACAAAACGAAGGAGTCACGTTCGCCGGATATCAGACTACAGATTACCATGAAATGTTACCGACCACTGACCTCGAGGAAGGCGGAAATTAGGAGGGCCACGAATGGCGTCGATTGACTAGTTTGCGTAACTTAAAAACGGGTCTAATAAACATATTTTGGGCACCCATCAGCACACAGTTGAAAGGGCCCAGCTTTATTTCACAAGTTCCTCGGGCCTCATATCTGGAACAAGCCCCGAAGTTTGTACTATGCAGAAAGCATTGGAGAATGACGTATGGGTAAATAATACAGAGAGAGAGAGAGAGAGAGTAAAGGGTACAGAAACTTAATCAAGCTGGAGTACTGGGGAAATCTTCGTTCGACTGCGATGCAGATCAAAGCCACGACCTGTTTCACCGAACCCTTGCAGGTCTAGAATAGGTACTTGAATGTACACGACATAGCATACAGCTCGTTGCTGTCGTTACTATATAAAACACTTCCGTCCAGTGTCCTCCGTTCCTCTGTACCTGGTCTGATTACTATGCGACCTTGACCGTCTCTGACAGTGCATTAACTGACATGTCAATAGATGTTTCTTTGCTTGGCAACAGTAATCACTACAAAAGGTTACAGAAATGTAAACATTCTCTACTTGTACGTATTTATTTTATTCTC